GTTTATGTTAGATGGTGCACTTCCTTATCATACAAATGCAATCCGACAACAATTACATAATCTTTTCTCTGACAAACTTATAGGTAGAGGAGCTGAAAACAATGCTCAATATAGCCCAGACATAACATGCCCACAAGGCAGTCTTAATTTCAACCCATGTGACTTTTTCTTATGGGGTTTTATAAACGAACAAGTTTATACCAAAAAAGTTAATAGTAGAGATGAACTTTTATTATAATATTATTATATTACAGTGTATAGGCAGTGGCGTATCCAGGATTCATTTAACGGGGGTGTTTTAAAATTTAATAGACTTATAGTAAGTGGAGGTTTTGCCTCCAACGTATTACAATTATAAATACCATGTATTTATATAAATTATTATATAAATAAAAATGATTTCACATATACTTACGTTTATTTAAATTATACCGTAAGTAAGTTTGCAATTTGATGAAATACCATAAAATACGTCGATGGGGGTTTAATAGAACCTCAACGGAAAATAACGAAGGTTGTATTTGTAAAAAAAAATGTGTTTTAACTACAACGAGTGCCGCTGAAAATGAGGAGTCTAATAATGAAACTAATTTAATTGATTACACGCTTATTATAATAGCGTGTACGGCTTGAGAAGCAACCGATCATTACTGGTTCTCCTACTGACTCTTACTTTATTTTATCTAATAATGTATGAACTTTACTTATTAGTCTAAGTGTTGTGGAGAGTTTCTCTATGGTTGGAGAAGAAGTTCTATATCTATATACATACTATATAATACACTAAGAACTTTTTAGGTGTCTAGGGAGGTTTTGGGGAAGGGTGGGAGAAGAGAGTTGTTTTATGAGTGGGTTTGTAATGTTGAGAAGTTGCTTATAGAAATTTTTATATTGAGATATAGATGTTTGTTTGTTTAACTGTGAGGAGGTGTAGGTCTTTATATGTGGTTTCATTTGAGACATGTGAAGGAGCATTTAGAATGCGACGTAGGGCTTGTAATTTATTGGTATTTGATGTTTTTGCGGTTCCCCACAGTTCAATGCCGTAGAATCACATGGGTTTAATAAGAGATTTATAAACTATGAATTTAGAGTGCAGATTTGTTTTTGCATTTTTATTGATTAGTAGTTGGAAGGCTCTGAGACGCTAGTTTACGGCTAATTTTTTGGTTTGAATGTAAGGGATCAAGTGAGACGTCTGTCGAAAGTTAAGCCGAGATATTTGGATTTAGAGTCAGTGGGGATAGCTGTGTGGTATATAAAAACAGATGGAAATTTTTTTTTGCGGAGAGTAAGTGTTATGACAGGATTTAGATTAATTTAAGTTTATCTTTCATTTATTATATCAAGGAAGCAAGGAGTTAAGATGTGTCTGGAATTGTAGATAAGCGGAATCAAGGTTTTCGTGAATGGAGATGAATAGCTTATTATCGGCATAATTACCGGCAACATAGGTGTGTGGTGAAGAGGGTTAGTCAGTGGTGTAAATGTTAAACAATAAGGGTGAAGAAATCACTTCTTGAGGAACGCTAGAGTTGATGGGATGTATTTCTGAGATTTCGAGGCAGACTTTGATAGCAAAAGTACGATTTTCAAGGTAAGACTTGTAGAAAAGGTAATATGATGGAAATAGGATGTGACGAAGTCTAAGAGGAGACCAGGAAACCAAATGCGATCAAAAGCTTTCTTTGGGTCTAACATTATTGTCGAACAATATAATTTTTTTTCTAAGCTTATTGATATGAGGTCTATGAGACCTCATATCAATAAGCTTGGAATATTTGTATATTGTATATATGTATATTTGGCGTATGGTCGAGTGTCTTTTCCGTAAACCAAACTGGTGAGATCTGGAGGTTTTTTGGATTTGGAGATTAGAATAATTAATGAAAATTTCCATTGAGTGAGGAAATATGATAGACGGATAATTGCTTTAATTATATGTATCAGTATTAAAATCGCTTTTTTAGGAAGCTGGCGGGCACCCTCTGTTGTTATAATGTCAAAACCGGGGGATTTATGAAGTGAAAATGAGTTTATACACTGGATTATTTTATCAGGAGAAAAATGTTTTTATGAAAGATACCTACTCGTACATTGGGAGTGGGATAGATAATTTATCATTAATATTGTTAGATATTAAAGGTGTCGATATATCGCTATGGGTTTTAAAGACTTTTGCGAGATGCGATGCAAGAAGTTCTGTTTTATCAATGTCGTTAGTTGGCCAGGTTAGATCTGCTTTTTTTAAAGGGGGTGATATTGATGGTTATCGTAGAATTTGTTGAGTTGACTTCCAAAGGAAGTAGTTTTTAACAGTAAGAGAAGCAGTGTATTTGGCGTATGATTCTTTGCGTACTTCTGCTAGCATTTTATTTGTTCTGTTGGCTAGGTTGTTGAATATGTTTTTATCATGTTTTTATTCTTTGCCAGTTTTATCTAGTGCGACGTTTAAGATTGATTAGGTCTCGAGCGAAAATTGGGAGTGGAATAAAGTAAGTAGGGGTAGGATGAGTTGAGGTGGGACAAGAGCTCCAAACGGCACTTTGAATTGATGAAGTGAGTTTTTTGAATAACATTAAATAAAATAATATGGAGTATGGGCATTCAGTCCTAGGTTCTTAAATCTGCATCATACAATTTATATCGCGCGACAAAAGTATATCTTGTAGTTTTTATATTAGTTTTTATTAGTTTTATTTTATATTATTAGTTTTATATTGTCTTATTATAAACATGTACAAAGGATTAATTAAATTCATTCGGATGTATCAAGAGAAAAAAATCGTCGAGCGAAGCGAAAAAATTTATTTTAGGATTAAAATCCATATTTTTTTAGTCCGTATACCCATAAATATATTTACCAATACACCACTAGCCTCGGGACAAAATTATCTCAATCCGAGCTTATTGATGAACGTACAAAAAAATGCTGAGGATAATCATTCGTTCGATTGTTCAGTGAACGTTTTAGTAGTTAGCAGTAGTGTACTGTATACAGAATACGATGAACAATTGAACGATGTCGTTCATCTAAACGTGAACTAATTCGAATCGTTCACTTAACTAAATAGTTTAATTGAATTAATTCGTTCAGGAATGACACGTCTCTACTAGACACTGTTCATATTTCATTTAAAATAAATTAAATTAAATTGTGTGCAAAGATACACTCAAAGAAATTATAACAACAATAAAATAATGTCTGAAAACCGTTATCAAATAGTAGTTATCACTAATTTTGTTTACTAATAATCGATCTTTTCTTTTTCATCTGTATTTCGATTTTTAGTGCTTATGTTTTTCACTCAACTGCTGATTAACTGAACAGACTTAGCTCGCTAATTTTTGGTAATATAGTATATAATTTCAATCTTTGTTGCTTGTTGACAACTATTGGTGTTTCACTTTCGTTCAATTTCAATAATACGCTAACGATTTACAAACTCGAGTAGCAATATTCGTTAACGGTTGATCGTTTTTAGTCATACGGTTGAGTAGAATATCCTGCCTGACCCTCGATTATACTGCGTCATAGACATAATATATATTATATCTATGTACTGTGTTCACCACTACAATGATTGTCTGATTTAACATTACCTACCACTTAACACACGACATTATATCAAATATTAAGACATAAATATTTTTCTGTTTGTGCTACTCTTGTAAAAAATATTTTCACCTTTTTACTACTTCGGAATTGGCACAAGTACAACTATACAATAATTTCAATTAATTTTTATGTATTTTGAATGCCACTGCAATTTTAATTGAGTATTCTATGGAAAAATAAATATCACTATTTTGTAAATAATTGAAGTCTATAACTTATCATTTATATTTTGACTATTAATTTTCGACTGATAACTCTTGTTCCCCAAGTTAATATGTGGCTATAGCTTGCTTATATTTGAAAATAAGAAAAATAATAAATTGTATTTCTATTTTGTTAGAAAAAAAAACTTAAAAACATAACTGTCTCACTAGTCCTGGTAATAATTATAATACATATTATATTGTTTCTAAATTAAAATACTAAACATTTATTTTAAATCCTAGATAACACTTAGTTTTAGTTTAAATAAAACTAAAATATTCTTTTGTATATAGTTTTAAAAATGTAAAATTTTTATAGTGATCAATTCATTCTATATCTGCAATCTATTTCTATAGTTTATTTTACATCATTTATTTTGATATTTTTATTTAAGTTGTATGGTATAATAAAGTGTCTAGATTTCTAATTAATTACTCATAATTGAGGATTTGAAAAAACCAATTAAAAATGTATGTTACAGTATCAACAGTTGATCTGAACTACTGTGAAAGTAAAAAATACTGGGTATTGACGATAATTTGTATTGACCGTTTGAGGAGTACACTGTCAGTAATGTAAATACTGTCAATATTTCTACTGTCAGTATTACTGATCGTGAGAGGCCCACTTTAGATTCGTACGTTCCGCTAGCAATATTTGATAAGGAAGCCCGGTGGTTTCTAAAATTGTTACATTATTGTTGATCATCAAATTGTATGTTAAGTTGCATATCGTAACCGCAGAAATCGGGCGAGATTTTATAGTGCGATACCGACGACTATGAATATAATTTAAGTATATTTAGAAAATGTATTGGTAATCAATTCATATAATTATGTGTGATAAAAATATAGCAGCACCATTCTTATCTGCTACCTTTTTTTAACACGCTATCTCGGTTATGTTTGCATTGGTCTTTTGCTTAGATCATATACTATTGTACCTATATGATTCAAGGTCTTATGACTGGCAAGCATTTCAGTTATCATATAGAGTTCAATGTCCTCATGATTATAAAATCAATCACTGATTTATTATCACTTATCATGGGCAGATGATCGTGGTCACGGTCTTAGATCCTCTAAGACCGTGATCATGGTTATCATTTATCACTAACTACCAGCTTATAATTGCCAACATAGGTATATTGTTATTGTGTAATACCATTGATTACAAATACAAAATAGTAAAAGTATTTATAATCAATGATAATACTTTTTAAACGTTGATGTAATACAGTCGGAAACGTGTCATCGGTACGGGTTGGTTCTAAGAAACCGTTTCTTGTTCGAAATCCTGTCCAAAGAAAAATACATGAGATAATGTATATTATTTGGCAATATTAACTGTGAACTGTGGTACTACTGAACAATTATAGGTTCTGTTGATTTTTCAAAACTATTATTTGCCTAAGTTCTTGAGTTTCAAAAACAAACACATTGAATTGGTAGGACAACGGTTAGTTGGTAAAATTTGGTAAGTATTTGGCACTTGATAGAAAATTAATTCTTATAAAGTTTTGGTTTTTACCCAATTTATTTTTCATTATGATCAATGTCAAACTGTGTGTAATATGGACTTAGATATTTGGCATAAACCCTATAGGTTTTAGAACATTTTTATATCTGTTAACTACTTAATTAATCATTATTTTTAATTAGTTAACATTTTTTTTTTTATTACACCGATTTATTTGTTTTTCTGTCATAAATATAATTATGATTCTATAAATATATTTTAATAAATCTATTCTGTTTAAAATTTGTCCATATACATTGATGCATTTTTTTTTTTAATTTTGGTTAAAAGTAAAATATAAATTTATATTAAATGATTGTTTTAAAATCTGTTTTGTTTTTTAGCAATCAAATGTATAGATACATAATATTTAAAACTTATGTTACCTAATTAATTACCTTAGAAAAATATTAAGTTAAAAATGTAATTTTTAAACTAAATTAAGAGTCAAACAGCACTACTATTAATATTGTATTATATTGTCGCGTACATATTTTATATTTTTCAGTTGGTATGCAGGATGACAATTCATCTCTTGAACCATCAGGGGGAAATATTACACCAGTATTAGAAAACTCAGTATCAATTAAACATTTTGTACCAAAAGTTGGATTATTGCATCATAAAGAATCTCCACAGCTGATACTATGTAAACCTAAATTGATGCCTTTGAAATCTATGACACTGGAAAAATTACAAAAAATGCAATCTGAAGCTGAAAAAAAATTGTCAAATAGATAATTTAAAAATATTAAAAATGACTGTAGGAATATTTAGTGCAGAAGTTATATTTGCTCTTATTTTAACTACAGTATTACTTAATCGTTATGGGAATTGGAAAACTCAAAATATTGTTGTTACATTTGCCGTTCTTATTTCTTGGTATTTTTCTCTATTAATTATCTTCGTTCTTCCCATCGATATATCTTTAGTAAGTTATTTTATTATTGTTAGATTAATAGATTTATTCTTATGTTATAGTATACTACTAATTATTTATTCTTTTAATATTATTTTCAATAAATAATGTGATTTACATTTTTTTATTTTTTTAAAAATTTAGGCAGCTTATCGAAAATGTATTCAAGATAAGCCTTATCATAACATCACAAATTCTAGTCAAGAACCGACCACTTGTAAAACACCATGGAGTTATGTGCCAGAATCTACATTACCAAACATGTGGAGAGTTGTTTATTGGACTTCTCAATTTTTAACATGGTATATTAACTATTAAGTATTTACAGTTTAATAAATTCTTGGTAGCTTAAAATTTGTTCATATAGTCTACCCTACATTTAGAAATATCCATAGCACTTGAGTTAAGGTCATAATTCAGACTAATGTATTATTTTTAATTAAACTTTAAGTTTGATTATAAAGTGTATTGATTACTTGTATTTTTAATCATAACACAATATGTGTGTTATATAAGAGTTTTAGGTGCAATTTATTGACTTTAATTGTATTGGTCAGAATCATCCTATTAGTCTTTAATATATTGCATAAAAAAGGAGCTCTGTTTGAATTTATATAAAATTATTACTTGTTAATAAATCTAATTTGTAAAATAATTTAAATGAATTAAATAATTACCTGGGAGTGTGCTTAAAGAGTAATTTTAATTTTTTAAATATTTTAAATTTGTTTGATTGGAATTGCTGAGTCAGAAAATATTTTATTTTGTTAGTGCAATTATAATTTTATTATTTGTTATATTATGTATATTAATAAAAAATAAAAAATTTATAGGTTTATCATGCCAGTTATGCAATATTATGTCAAATCTGGAGAGTTTACACTGAAAGAGAAACTAAAAAATGCTATCAAAAGCAATACACTTTATTACAGTACATTATTATCAATTGTTACAATACTTATAATTTACATTGCTCTTAAACCAGATGTACATTTAGATTGGTGAGTATACTATTACAATTTATAACCATAGATATATGAATAAATTTACAAATATTAAAACTTGAGAATTTTAGCTAAGTATAATTTTAAATTATATATAAATAAAAATATCTTACCTAGTATTTAAATTAAAAATGGAGATTTGAAGTTTCTTTTTAGTTAAATATGATAAATTATTTAAATTATAATTATAAAATTAAAATGTTACTTTCAAATTATTGGGCTTTACATGTTTATTATAATTTTTAACTGTCAATGCTTCACTAAATTAAATGTTATACTTATAATATAATTACATAAAATATAAATATAAATTAATAAAAGCTTTTTTTAAAATTAGTTTAGTCCGTTTTTTCAAATAAAATCAACTAAAATTGTTTTTATAAATTAAATAATTTATACCTCTTGTTCCAGAATAAAAATAAAGTAATTATAATAATAATGTATTTAAATATTATATAATTTCAGGCAAAAATTAAAAGCTATTGCATCATCTGCTAGTAATACATGGGGATTGTTTCTTTTAATATTATTACTAGGTATTGCATTAGTTGACATTCCAAGAGAATTATGGAGATCTAGTCAAATCGAATATACATTAAAAAAAGTATATTTTAAACTATCAAAACTTAATACAGAAAAATTAGAATCTGAAGGTGCTTTAGAAGATGTTCTTGAAGTATTTATATTTATAATTATGTTGTAATGAATTTATAATTATTTGTGTATGAAACTAAAAGGTTTTTTTTTAGTCTATAAAAAGTGTAAGTCTCAATATAAATCCAAATGATCCACTGTATGATTGTTTTCAAATAATCTTGAAAAAAGTTCCTGAAGATCAACGTGATTTTTTGACAAATGTAAGATCAAATTTAAGGAATTCTACACCAGCTCCTTCAATTGGCATGCTTACTCGACTTCATAAACAAGTAACTAAAGAAATACATAATTTTATTGTTCAAAAAAAAAAAATTAATTGATATATACATAAACAAAAACTATGATTTCAATGTAAGTTAAGTTTTGTTGTTATTAATAGTCTAATGTTTTGATCAAATGATGTACATATTGCTAACCCCAATTTGCTTGGACACCAGCGGAAATTATTGATTGGTTGAGTTGATATCAGCTGATTCTGAATCAATTGTAATTTTCCTGGATTTGTTATCAAATCTCCGTCAGATTCGGTTTTATATCTTTCTTCAGGGTATTTATATTTCCATATGTATATTGAACCATTTCCTCCAGTTGTAGTAAATATTTCTCGATTTTGAGGCAGATGCCTTACTGTCCAAATTGTATGTTTATGTAAATTATTTTTTATGTAGCCAAATCCTTTTGTAGGATGCTGCACTTTTGTATCAAATACATAAAAATGTGATTCAATTGTTGTGGCTATTAGCTTATTCATTTTAATGTCTCTTCTATCGAATTCTAAACTGCAAACTCCATTTGATACATTGGTTTCCCAACGCAATGCCATTGCTTTTAAATCTAACATTTTTATGTCTCCGTTATCATAACCAGCACACACAATTCGTTCTTCTGAATTATAAGAATTCCCAAAAGCTACTGCCCAACAATCTCTTTTTTTAGCACCAACAGCAGTTTCCATTTTTGCAACTGGTAATTTTTCTCTTGGATCCCATATTTTCACGGAACCATCCTTTCCACCTAAGATTATTATTTGATTATTTTTAATATGTATTTGTATTTGACCTATTATACATACCAGTCACTAATTCTGGAGCACCACATCCAACCCCAAGTCCGCCAACACCATCAATGCAATATATAAGCCCTTGATGAGCTTTTATGGAATAAATTGCTTTAGCTGAATATTCCAAGTCAACAATTTCTAGGTCACCTTTATAATTTCCAACTGCCAAATGTCTTTTATTACTTAAACTTGCTTGAAAAGTTGCACATTCAATAGCAACTGGTTTTTCATATTCTTGTATAGTTTGAATTTCATTATCGTCTAGTCCATATATATTTATAACACCTTTCAGATTTGGTTTACCTCCAACTGCTATATACTTAGCAGTATTATGAATCCATTGACAATCTTTTAACTGGTAGTCAACTGGTTTTTCTCTGTGAATAATTATCTGTGGCTTACTTAATTTCTCCATTTTATTTTAATTAAATTACATTTATGTAGAATATGCTATGTTTAAATTTCATTAAACATTATGTTAAGAATTGTTGCTATGGTTACTAAGTAGTATGTGTCATCAATGATTCAAATAATATTTGATTACAATCAAAAAATTATACTCATGGATAAGATGTTATCTCTTAGCCAATTGTTCTAATTTATTTAAGATCAAAAATGTAGTAAATATAAATGTGTTAAAATTTACAATATTTTTTCTAAGATAGAATTTTAAGAATTCATTGCTAAGTTCTATCTTAATATTCTAAATTTTTATAAAAATTGGAAATAAGTTTTGTATGTATTCGTTTTCTGTTTTATCTATTTTCCATTTCAAAAATTAAAAAATAAAAGAATATTTAGAAAAAAAAATTTAAAAGTAATTTTCATTACTACTTTAATATAAATATAAAATATATTATGAATGTTCATTTTTAGTTAATTGTAGCTGTACATATGTATCAACGTACAGATACTCAAGGAAGTTTAATGCTAGAAAAAGCTATTTTTTTGGAAGATATAAATTCGAACATGTCATCAAGAGAACAAAAATTTAAAAAAATGTTTGATAAACCTTCAAAACTAAATAAATATGTTGATACATCTACAATTGGTGAGATATTTAATTTAAAAATGTAATATCAATATTATTATATTTTTGTTTTATTATATGTTCAATTGAAACTCTATTATATATTTTCATTGTATTGAATAATTATTAAATAGTGTATATCTATGAATATATAATATAAAATTGTATATTTTATAATTATTTAATTGTGAATATAATCATTAAGATTTTAAGATGATATTTTTAATGATATTATAACCTAACATAGTATGTTATATTATATACATGTCTAATTTGTTTATAGAATGGTATTGGTGGTGTTGTATACATCCTATGATGCTTAAAATATTGTCAGTCATAACTGGTGTGCTTTCGGTTGTAATTGTATGGTCTGAAATGACATTTTTTAAAAAACAACCAGTTCTTTCTATTTTTGCTCTCATGGTTAATGTAGCAAAACAAAATAACGATTATGTCATGATACAGGTAAATATTTAAGTATAGTCAAGATCAAATAAATTATATAATTATTTTTAATGGTTATTACATTGTTTTACAGTTATTATCTACAATATCAATTGCTTATTTAGCATATTGTACATATTCAACAATATTTAAAATAAAATTGTTAAATATTTACTACCTGGCACCAAACCATCAAACTACTGAAAGTAGCTTAATATTTTTTGGATTGTAAGTATTTTCTAAATTTAATATCTATTGCAACTTAAATTAATGAATATTGTTCTGATAGATTATTGAGTCGCCTAACATCTCCAATGTGTTTAAATTTTCTTGGACTTATTCATATGGATAGTCATGTGATCAAAAGTCGTATTCTAGAAACTGATTATACACAAGTGAAATATTATTAAATAGTTTTATTTTATTTCATTGTTTTATTTATTAGTTTATATTGTTTCTAGATAATGGGACATATGGATGTTATTAAAATAATAAGTGATGGTTTTAATGTATACTTTCCTACTCTTATACTAGCTGTGTGTTTAGCAACTTATTTTAATGTCGGAACGAGAATTTTATCTATACTAGGATTTCCTCAATTCATAGAGGATGATGATTTAGTGAGTGATTATATTCAAGAAGGACGTTTATTAGTTATCCGAGGTAAATTATTTGTATTAATAAATATTCATTAAATCAACTATAGTATGTTTTTTTTTTTTTAATTTAGAAAAAGAAAGACGTGAGCGTAAATTAAGAGGGAATGAAATGCGCCGTAAATATAGAGAAAGATCATTACCGACTGCAAATGATGTTGAAGAAAGTATGTATAGCTTACATATGAATTTAAATTATTAAATAGGGATAATAATGAAAATTTTATAGGAGTTCCACCATCTCGGAAAGGCAACATGAAATCATATTTGTTGGATAATGCTGAGCCCATTGATCGAACTTATCAAAGTTATACTATAAATAATACACTTGAAGCAGATAGACAGCTACCTGATGTGAGTACTAGACCAACTAGTACGTGGGAACCACCAAGAAATATATTTAGTGATTTATAGTATTATAAGTAATAAAAAAAATTATGTGTAATTCATAATAATTATATTTGTTGTATGATTTTATGTTCATTTATTAAAGTAATATTATATACTTGAAAATAATTTTTTTTTCTCAAAATATTTTCTGAACAATTTTCATATTTTATACAATATTTTGCCTTTAAAATGTGTAATTTTATTATTAAATTGTATTATGTCAAATTTGACGTACTATTAGTTTAATAAATTATAGTTTTTATCAATAGTGTACTATAAAAATAAAAACTATAAAATTATTCCTAAACTATACATAATTAATTTATTAAGGTTATTAAGGTGAGTATTATTAATCTTTTGGTGCGATTTTAGAATATATATATATATATATAAATTAAAAATATAAAACTCATTTGAAAAGCTTAAATTAGTTAGACTTTTTCTATACAGTTTTGATTTATCATTTTCGTATGTGCATGTGCAAAACAATATGTGTTTTTTAAATAGCAACACCTATTTTGAACACCATGTTTGAATAGGCCTATATTTTCAAAGTAATTTAGATAATAATTAATAATTAATATATGGTTTTAAATTCAAAATTAATTGAAAGACATCTATTTAAATTTTTTAAAAAAAGTACATTTTTACTATTCATTAAAATGTATAAAACCATTTATAATTATTTATTATTGGTTCTTTATTGTATATTTTTTAGGTATTTTTATTTAAAAGTGTGTTTTGAAAAATATTGACATAATATGAATACAAAATTATTTATTAAAATTGTATTACAACAGTTTAACCAAAGCTCGTGGATTCAATCTAATTTAAGCTAAAACTTGAAATTCCGCATTAATATTATTTACTCTAGGTAGTTTATGTACTACTTTTACAGAATATGATATGATCTATGGTTAATCAATATTTTTCTATTTTAATAAAAAGTGTATTGTGAATGATACTTAGTTGGGTATTGTTCAACAAACATTTCTGCTGGCTGACGAGAATTTCTATTGCATCAATCAAAAATTAAAAGCATTAGTAAATTTTCTTGGTTTTTAGTTAATTCTTAATATGTGTTTAGTAAGTTAGTCTTATTTATAACAGTTTTTAATGGTAAATACTTGAAAATATTCAATAAACAGACAGTGGCGTATTTACGGGGGGGGGGGGGGGGCCTGGTACCCCTGGACCCCTCCAAGAACCTTTCAAAAAATAAAAAATTAACAAAATTTTTTACATATTTGCAGAATTGGTTATGTTAAACATTTACAGGGAAGTTGAAATTACTGTTGATGAAGTGATAGAGGAGTTGACCAAAAAATCGAGACAACTAGAATTTATTTTATAACAATACTTTATAATATATAATGCTAAATACAATACATAGGTACATATATATAATATTACATAAGACTATACGATTATTACATTATATATTTAGTTCAACTTCCTCTAAAAACTGCATAAAGACGTAACTATTATAATATAATATATAGATTATATTAATTATGTATAAACTGTGGACCCCCCAGAAAAAATTGAAAATACGCCACTGAATAAGGAACCAATAAAAAATAATTATAAATGGTTTTATGCATTTAAATGAATGTTAAAAAAGTTTTTTTTTAAAAAAAAAATTGAAATTGTTCTTATTCAGTTAATTTTGAATTTAGAACCATAGTTGTTAAATTTAATTTACTTTAAAAAAGAGGCCTACCCAAATACGGTGTTAAAATAGGTGTTGCTATTTGAAAAAAACACATATTGTATCGCGTATGCACATACATCAACATTTGAAATCTGCATTTATATACTACTAGCTTGTAAAATAAAAAAAAAATTGATTCAATCCAATGTAATTCGACCAATAAATTTAGTGTTCCTTAAATTGGTGATCACATGGTATATAAAAATATAAATACAAAAAAAATACATGTATATATATATGGTATAACTTTATAAATAAACAGAGCTATACAAAGAAACAAATAGGTATTTGTTTGGTTGCCATTTCCAATGACGCGTTGATCAGGGGTGAAGTACGAGTATTAAAGTTGAGGATACATTAAAATAATACGTTACAACCCCCCCCACATTTATAACTTTATATGTATTTATGATATAAGGGACACAGTCTTTTATTTTTTATTTCATATTTTTTTTCATATGAGTAGTTTACTATTCCATCATTCAACATTTCATTAATTAAATCATCAGGCATAGTGGCGAATGACAATATTACAATATTTTAATATTTAGATACGAATATCACGCCAGAAATAAATAAATCGTAAAATAAAAATCAACCAATAACTACGATAACACATCAACGCAAAAAGCAATGACGATTACAATAATGTACATTTTAAAATGAAATAATAAATACGGACGCGAGACATGTCTCATAAAGCAATGATAATTTCCACTCAATAACCTATTTCTCCTCACACCGTGCCTTGAAAAACGAGACGCTGCATCGGGTCGTCTCATAATATTAATTTTTATATCTGTATTTGGATGTTTATAGAATTTATTATGCCACAACGGACGACAGCTTGCGTGCACGATCCGCAACTAATCTATTTTAAGAATACTAATACGGTGTGGCACAAAAGTAAAACTATGATAAATATTGAAGTATATATCATACAAAAATAAATAAAATATAATAAAACCAAATTATGAATTCGTATTAAAAGTAGATAGACATTGTCTCATTGTTTCCTATAACGCTTCGCCACTGGCGTTGATCCATTCTGTTATTTGGTATATTGAATATTAACTCCACGGACGAGGGGTTTTTTTCGTGAATTTTGTATTTTTTATCGTTTTTATAAAGTATTATAAAAGCATAAATTACAACAAAAATATTTAAATTATAAAAAAAACCTAATCAGTTCTGAGAAAAAGGTTGTGCCCATATGAGACTGCTCATCCATAATCACGCATTTACTAAAATATTTTATTATCAATTTTATACTATAGTTCTATTTTCTTATTTCACTAAGTTATTCAAAAACCATTTTTCTTTAATTTAAAATAAATTGTTTAGGTACTTTTATTGACTATGAAATATTTTGTTTTGGTTATTATATCTATATATATATTTTATATAATAATTCATTTTTATATTTCTATATTTATGTACTTCTTTTTCTTTAAATCTTTTATTTAATAATACTGAATTATTATTCATATCAATGTTAAGTCCAATCAAATTACGTGTCATCCACCATTATTGTCACCTTGTCACTATTCAATAAATGAATAAAAAGCAAAGTCGAAGGATTAGGAAAAAGTATTCGGTTGAGTTTTTTGAAAAAACGTTTAAAGTGTTGAAAAGATGATGTACTTGTATTTTAATGCAATAGGTTCACATTAATAAAAATTTAAAAAAATATAAATAGCCAAGAGCGCCTAAAAGATAAATATGTTATTGAATGTGAGTGTTGTCTGAAATAAAAACATAATTATTAGAGACAGGAGAATACACGGTTTGTATTTTACTTGTAAGTGGTGATCATGGTGATCTAATGATTAGCGTAAATATGGTGGCCGGGAGGCTTGTAAAGATTCATTCAACGTTTTTTGTAATCTTTCTAAAATCCATTCAATTTCACAAATAATAGATTAAATATAAAGTTTTTTTCCTTAAAATATCGAATTCATGAATAAACATAAAGTTAATATTATAAATATTAAATGCTTGTAATTCTGAATAATCCATTTATAACTTACATAAGTATGTAAAAATTTTTTACCAATACTCGATGATTCAAGTGATCCATTTAAAATAATTATATTGAAAGGACGAAAAGAAGAAAAACAAGTTTTAAAAAAGCATATCCGTTTAATTATTATTTTTATAATTATCACACAGCATTGGATTCTAGTTATCTAGTTTTACATTTATATAAAAAAATAACTGTTACATGATGTTTGTAAAATGAAATACATTGAAATAAGTTAAAATGTTACTTTTTAATTTGATAAGACAATCTTATATAAATGTGTCTTATAATATAATAACTATTTATTCTAGTACCTACATTGTTAATTAATGACTCGAAAAGAATACTTAACAGTTTTGATTTAAGTAGGAGTAATAAAGTTAGTCATTTTTAACGATTTTCTAATGACTGAAAATATAATATGTTTATTTAGGAAGTTAAGTTTTTATATATTTTTTTATTTTTATTTTGTTAATAAATTAATAGTTTTTGTATATCACACTATTCATACATAACATCATTGCCGATTAATGTTAAACGATTATACATATTTACTTCTAATATATTACATATACCTTAAAACTAAATGTAGACAAGTCTTCCGAAAGCTCGTATATTATACAGTTAATTTGAATAACAATATATGCATCAATTATTTGTGCATATAATATTTAGATAGACAATATAATACGTGTGGGTAGGTGTATATGCATATATTATTTTTATATCTAACCGATATTGGAAGCTATGAAATATAATATAGAGTAACCTAAGCGTTCGGAAGAAATGTCCGTACAACAATTAAAACATGAATAATAATTAGTGCACGTTAGAATTTATTATTTACGTTTTAATTGTGTAATTTTGACTAAGGAAAATTATCGTATGCGGTCGGAAAAGGCCTTTAATCGGGGAACACTCGTCGTTTCGTGTTAATCGTACACTTTTCATAGTTAATTCGTTAAATGTCTTTTTTCTTTTTTTTGTTGACTAAAATTGTATTAAACAGTTACATATTTATACACATGTATAGATATGTATTTAAATCGTGAGTGTCTACAGCTAATTAAAGGCCTACGCGACTTATCACAAACATGGCAAATTATTAACAGTCGTAAATTACATAATGAGGTTTAGGCGGGCGATCGCATGCACAATGTGCGGCGTGCCTAAACGAGTAGTAGTAAAAAAAAAAAAATAAAAATATTACAAAAAAAAGTAATAGTATTACAAAAATGATTTTGTGATCATGTTAAATAGTCCGGTGACGGTTCGGACGTCTGGTCGTGGTTCATGAACATCGGGTTGGGTACTTGGGTCGGATGGGGTAGCGGGCCGTTGACGTTCGGCGTTCTCCTGTAAGCCATCAGCCAACACGACACGGCCACGGCGACGGCCACCAGTGCCAGTAGGGCTGTGATGACAAGGGCGACGATCAGCCCGATGACCGACACGCAAATGTCTTCCGTGGGCTGAGTGATCGGCGCTGGAACACGTTTAAAGGGAAAAATAAAAAAAATGCCCACGATTAGAACCGCCAGGAACGTACCCAGGAATTTTTTATGGGAGGGGGGTTAAAAATTTTTATTTTATTCGATAGCGGGAAATTAAAATACACTATATACTATTATTATACTATTTACTATTAAATCGTTGAGTATGTAGAAATTTCAATGAAGGGTCCGGTCCTAATTTATATCATGTGGTTGTAAATAACTTTTAATTTGTAATTATAATGAATATATAATAACATAATTATTATTTTTTATATTATAAAATCACCTAATTTTTGGAAAAATTTAAAACTCTCCCCGAAAAAAATTTGAAAATATGTCAGTGGGTATACAAGGCGGTCCATGAAGTCCAGTAAAATTCGAATTTTATCTAATACACGTTATTGAGCACGCAATGAGTCTTTAATGCAATTACTATATATGACAGGTATCTACTACGGTGTATTGTGATTTTAACGTTGTCAATCGTTGCTGCGAGTTCTTTACGGTTTTAACCGGACGCGTCGGGACCAACACACTGCTGCAGTTATTGTCATACAGCCAGATTTAAATAAAACTCTACTAAGTATTTTATCGTTGGAGTACATTTCTCTTCTCCCTGTCAAGAATAATTAGAAAATTCTCGCGGAAAACCCTGTAGAAACAGTATGGTATTGCAGTTGTACAACAAGTTTATTTGGCTGGTTAGTTGGCTCGAAAAACTCGAACGCGGAAAAAACGGAGCGAGTGAGAGTGAAAGTAGGTCGAATTTTACGACGGGGATCGTGGTAAAAGAAATGTTTGTATAATATTATCCGCTGTGGATTATTACACGTATAATAACATACATTACCGTTGTGTGATTACGTGAAAGTAAACGTATAGTTTTTTATTATGCCCTAATGTGGACTTTCGGTCCGATTGGTTTTCTAGAAAACGCTCGTGTCGCCGAATCGAATCACGAATCGATGATTTATTTTGTAACATCACGCAGTTTTTAGATCACGATGGATCACTGTTTGCGGCCCGTATTAAACACATGGTAATACTAATATGTTATGATTGCGTGATCGACGTACCTTCAGTGGGACCCATAAGCCGTTCTTCTCTGCGTTCGAACGTCAGAATAGCATTCGATTCGATCGTGATTTCTTCTCTCAGCTGTCCTCGTTGGACCACATCGATAGCGTCTTCGTCCTGTCTGTTATTGTCCTTGCTTATTTCACGTCGCCTACGTCTACCGAATGCGTTGTAGCCGCGACAATTCACCTGCACAAGACACGGATTTAATTAAAGACAAGTGAATACAGAAAATACGATTATATATATATACACTTATATATGTACACTTTTTTCGCGCGCAGACGTATTGACACTCAACAGACGGATTCGTTCTACGTGATCTTACCTAATCGTGCATCGTACACGTATAGGTATGATTGAAACAATTGTTCACGATGACTAATACGGGAATAAGACACACGCGATGGTTACACGCGCAGCGGTGGGAACTGAACGCGTCGATATAACATAAATGCATTATTTCGCCCTACCATTGTCGCATACACATACATAAGTAGGCACGTTGTTTTCTTGTCGCGCCATCGTGTCACTGCCAACGCGGTAGAACATGTAATAACATATACCAAATCCGATCATCACATGTTCACGTATGGGCAATTACTCCTACTCGCGTGGCCTTGTGAATCGCGGAAGGCGATTACCGTCTTACACCACAGTACAATGCCCGAATCAGTAGCTCAACTTTGTATAAAAGTATCCGTGGCCTCCACCAGAGATTTTTAAGACGTTTTATAGCCGAGAAAAATCGATATTTCTCTCTTATTATTTCCTTATCCCCTAATCATTTTTTAAGTGATCATATTTTTATAATTTCAGTATCCACCATTTCGAAAATACATAACATTTATATCACGTACTCCACATGAAGTTGCATTTTTAACGTATTCAATAATCGTTACGTAGAGACCGAATTTAAACGTCTCTACTAGCGGCCATTCACAGCTTCGTGGCAGACTGTTTGCTATAACAATTCTTTGAAGCGGCACTAACAGGTGACGCTGACTTTGAATTTGCTAGACTCGACACTGTTAATTACTATTTTTCACTTTGTTCTAGATACAATTAAACGCTCTTGGGTCACTTATATAATTGTTATAAAAGTTAATTCAATACGTGTACTTTTGGTTATCGCGAATTTCAAGCAGAAAAAAGAATAATGTTCGAGGCAATTTGCGCTGTAGGTAGTCGTATCCACCATTATAATATTATACGGTCCAAGTTGACGTTGATAATAATGATAATACGTATACGTACCGGTTGGCATTTGCCGAAGCACACGCGTATGTTACACTGGAATCGTATGTTGTCGGAACTCGGGAATTTGAATGCGTTGAAACCAGCCAACAACGACTGGGTGTCGGCATTGTAATCCCACTCGCCGAATATCGTCGGATCGGTCGCACATCCATTTTCGTCCGTTACTATGTACTCGTTTTCAACGTTGTCTTCGATCGTTTTCGCTACACAACTCCTGGCATATCCTCCGTAGATACCTGAACGGGTACGACAAAGCGAAATTAATTACTATTTATTATCGATATGGATATATGTTATTATACAGCGACATCGGTTTAAAACGGACTCTTGGTAGTATATGGAAACCACCCACGATAACATTTTAGATATTTTCCCCCGAAACTTGTCTAAATTATTATTTTTATTTTGTTTCTATGTGTTTTCGTTTTAAACAGTTTTATCCGTATATAATTAATTTATCATCGTATTTTATAAAAGAATCAGGATATTTTTCAAACATACTAGACGGTTGGACATCCACTTGTAACATGAGGTTGTCTCCAATTTCCGCTGAATTGATCTCTTGACCGGTGTGTGTGACTATTTTCATCAAACACGTGGGGGGCGGCCCGGTGTTCGCTATAGTACCAGCCGTAGTCAACATGGAAACATTAAAGCCAAGGGTGACGTTCTGTTCTCCTGTTTGGTACACACAACGTATGTGATAGGCTTGGGCTTTGTATGTTACCAGTTTCGGATGTTTTTGAATAACCAGCACGAAACTAGCTTGGCCCTATTCGCAGAAATCAAACATTCACCGACATTAGTTTATTCCATTTAACAGAGTACCTAAGCATTAAGAATTAAGAAAAAAAAACAACTCATGAACTCACGTTTACGTGTATAAGCCCGCAGTTACCAAAGTTCACTTTGAATATTTCAGTTTTAGGCGATGAGTCTTGCGCCATCGAAACGACTCGTCTACATTGTTCGTTTTTACTGTGGCCCTTCACGTACAACACTCCGTTGAATCCCTTCTCCGTGATATGGATTTCTACTTGGACTCCGTCCGACAAACATGTAACGACCATGTCTGGTCTTGGAAAATCTGTTCTAAATTGTGTTGTATTTTCTAAAAATAACATCATAATGTAATAAATTGAATCAATAAAATAAATAATTTTTGAAGAAATAATTTGTTATTATTTTTATAACTATGTTTAACATACTCGGTACACATTGTCCATAGATATTCAAACTGTAACCATGTTCGGTTGGACATATGCAACGTCCTCTTTCGTCTATAATTAATCCTCTATCTAATGCGCATACACAACGGCCGTTTTCGTCGATTTTAAATCCTAATTCAACAATACATCTACGGCATTCGTCTTCTTGGTTAAGAGCTGTACCCGGAGGACATACACATTCTCCATTTTCATTCCTTACGTATCCTTTTTCAATAGGACACTTCGAAACTAAAAAGTTATTCAAGTATATTTAATATTATTTATTATAATTTTACAATCATATATTTCACACATTATACCATAAATCACTTCTAAAACAATTATTCTAAATTAATAAAAGTCGATTTAAAACGTGAATCTTATATTAATCTCAATAATCGTAAACATATTGAAATTAGTTTAGCCTATTTTATAATAACGAATAAAAATAATTTAAAATATGTACCTTCGTCACATCGTATCGCAGCATTTCCTTGAGTACCCGGTAGACATTCACATGTCATGGTTCTTATAGGGTAGGTATCGAGGACTTTACATTTCGAGTTTATTCCGCAAGGAGATGAAGCATCACACGGGCTTACACATAATTTATTAATACAACCCGTTTGTGATGGACAATCCGAATCACTTTGACATCCGGTTTCGACTGTAAAAACACATTTATAAAATGATACCTCGATTTAATTTCTAATAAAATATTGCAATTCAATACGTACTCTTTTTGCAACTTGTTTCTACACTTCCGATATAACCTGGTGGACAAGCGCAGTCTGTGCGATGGTTATAAACTGTACACTCGGCCGGTTTAATGCACGGGTTGTTTTTGGTACACGGATCGATACATTTAGTGTTTATACACGCTTTGTCGATTGGACAATCTGTGTCAGAGCGACAACCAGCAACCACACAAGCTATCTGCGGATTTCCAACCATTCCAGGTGGACATTCACATATAGCTTGATGGTTGATACCATAACATTCAGCTGATGTTCCACAACTGCTACCATCTGCTGCGCATACGGCGACACAGATGCGGTTGATACAAGTGTGTTGACCAGAACAATCAGATTCAGAACGACATCCGGCTAAAAATGGAGAAATAAAGAAATTAAGGCATTTCATAAAATATGTGCCACTAGTTGATTCATATGACTTATCATACCTCTTGAACAATCGATCTCTGGGCTTCCGTCAAATCCAGCTAAGCAAGAGCAAACTGGTTTGTGATCCCATACTCTGCATTCGGAGTTCGGTCCACAGTTACATGGATCTATACACCTTCCATTTAAACAAGCTCGGTCTGATGGACATTGCGTGTCCGCAGTACAAGCAACAGCTGTCATAGGTGGTGTGATCTTGCAAGTGCCACTTCCACTACTCGCGTAACCACTGGGACATTCGCAAATCATCGTTCTTACTGGCAGCGAATCGATTACAACACATTCGGCTGGCCGTTTACAAGGTTCCAGAGTAGTACATGGGTTTTGGCATACATTATCAAAACAAGCTAATAGTGATGGACAGTCAGCGTCTTTGTTACATTCGGGTTGTACTTCTTGTCTACAGGCTACGTATGGGTTGCCGACTAGTCCCGGTGGGCAGCGACATAATGCAAAATGATTTTGTACTTTGCATTGAGCTTGAGACGAACAAGGATGTTCATAGACACATGGGTTGATACATTGTCCATTGATACATGAACGATCATCTGGGCAGTCGTTGTTGCTGCGACAACCGATTACTAAGCATCGGTCGTATGGGTTTCCTCTATAGCCACTCTTACAGCGACATTCTGGACGGCTAGCAACCGTGAAACATTCAGCATTTGGTCCACAAGGATCTTCTACTATGCATGGATTTAAGCAGTGGCCGTTAATACAAGCTTTACCAGATTCACATTCAGAATTTCTTTTACATCCGACTATAATACATTACAATTATTTTTATTAACGCTATTATAAAAAAAACGTTATGTGAATAGTTAAAGATTGAAAAACATACTTGTTCTGCAAGCAAAGTTAGGATTTCCGTTATAACCTTCTAAGCAAGAACATACTGGATGATGATTTTGGACGAAACATTGAGCATTTGTACCGCAATTACATGGGTTGCGGCACTGTTGGTTAAGACATGCTTCATTTGATGGACAGTCATCGTTGGTAGTACAACCTGGTGGCGAGGATACAATGACTGAAAAAAAAAAAAATAAAAAAATAGTTTAGATTTAAATTTTTTAATATATTATATTTGATATAAAATCCAACCTTGTTTGCATTCTCCTCCTTCATCAAGAACCCATCCTTCAGAACACGTACAAGTCATTGTTCTCACTGGTACACTGTCTAAGACTGTACACATAGCACTATCTGAACAAGGTTTTATTTCTCGACACGGGTTCACACATTTTTCTTTGATGCACGCAAGTCGACTGGCACAATCTACATCAATCTTACATTCAGGTTCTCCGAAAAGAGGTGGTGGTAAACGTTCACAATAAGTATTCGGGTCTCCCATTGGGAAGTTTTCTGGACATTTGCACGAAACGGCATGGTTTCTTACGAAACAAATAGCGTTTGAAGCACATGGAGGACTATGTTGTTCCGTGCATGGATTGATACAATGTTGGTCGAAGCACATGCGATCTGATGGACAGTCTATGTCATATGTACATTCGGTTCTTTCGCATTTCTCAAATGGATTGCCAAAGAAACCAGGTGGACATTGACATGCAGCACGATGATTATCACCATAACATTTTGCGGTCGGAGCACAAGGATCATTCAATAAACATGGTGGAACACATTCACCGTTGTAACATTGTTTGTCATAAGCACATTGATCATCTGATGTGCATCCCACTGAAATTATTTATGCTATGGTTAAATTTCTATAATATTATTAGGCTACTTCTGTTATTATAATTTAGACATAATCGGTAATAAATATCGAGCCAAGACATCAAGTAAATAAGTCAACTATAAGGTAAGAGAATTGAAAAAAATATTCACTTTTTATACAGCCTTGTTGCGGATTTCCGTAATATCCAGGCTTACAAATACAACTAGGATAATGATTATACACTTTGCAATCTGAGTTTGGCCCACAATTACATGGACTTACACACAATCTATTTATACATGACTCCTCTGGACTACATTCTGTGTTTGACACACATCCAACATTCGATATTGAAGCTATAACACGAAATAAATATATAAATATTTTGTGAATGATCATTTAGATATAAAAATAAATAAAATAGAGTAATTACGTGGAATGCATGCAATACGTGGATCTCCTGTATATCCATTTGGACATCTGCAAACAGGTTGGTGGTTTTGTGTATGACAGAATGATCCTCTACCGCAACTGTCATCTAAAGTACATGGACTAATACATTTTTGGTTGACACAACTTTTTTCTGGTGCACAGTCATCATTCTTCATACATTCTGGTTGAGGTGGTAACATAGGTGTTGCTTGTTCTAAAATTATATAATAAAAATAAAATACCAAATTTTGTCGTACAAATATGTATATATAAATGTAAAAATATGTATATATCAATTTAAGAATAGTTTTACAATAAATAGTATATTATTCAACACTTACGAAGCGAACATTCTATATGTGGATTGCCAGTATATCCTGGTGGACATGAACATGCTGATTGATGGTTTAGTGAAACACATTGTGCATTTATACCACAAGGGTCTATGCGACATGCTTCAACACACCCTTGATTCACACACCTCTCTGTCGACGGACACTCTAAGTCACTCTTACATTGAGGTGTGATGGGAACTGAAATTAATATAGTATAGTTTTAGAAAGTGCAATGTATTTGATTAACTATAAGTATTGGTTATTTAATATAGGCAAAGGGAAATATTCAATTATATTTCCTAGAAAAAATAATCTCAAATAAATGAGACTACTAATTGTTTTATAATTAATTAATTTCGATTGTATTTGAATAAAACTGTGAGTTAGATAAATTAAGAATAAAGTTAGACAGTGATATAAAAATTATACCTATTGGTTTGCATCGGCCATCAATAGTAGCTACAGTGTCTGGTCTACATTGACACATAATAGTTTTGTACGGAACCGTGTCTTGAACATGACATTCCTGATCGGGTGAGCAAAGGACAGATAAGGTACAAGGATTTTGACATCTTTGATTGATACATGCATGTTGTGATGGACAATCAGAATCTATTGTGCATTCAGGAGTTATTGATGGTACTCTTGACTCTATTTGAAACAAAAAAAAAAAAAAAAGTAGAAATTGATTAAATAACATTCTACTCATTAAAAATATTGTTCAACTTACCAATGCATTCAATATATGGATTTCCTTGGAAGCCACTTATACATGTGCATGTTGGTTGATGAGCTTGAGCTAGACACGTTGCCTGCTCAGCACAAGTGTCTTGTTCACAGACAGGTCTGCATCTTCTATTTAATCTATCACATGCTTCATGGTCAGCACAATCTTCATTATATTGACACACTACTGATACACAAGATATCATCGGTGATCCTTGTGTACCGGCTGGACAAATACAATGAGGCTTATGAGCTTGAACAACACACTCGGCTCCATGACCACAACTCTGTGCGGAGCAAGGATTCAAGCAGTTGCTGTTGATACAGGCTTTGTCATAAACACAGTCACTGTCAGTTTTGCAACCAGCTGAAATAGGAATAAGATTGACGATTAATATTGAATTGTATTAATTGATATATCTTAAATATCTAATTGATATATCTTACGTTTATAACATTGGATCTGTGGATTTCCTGCCCATCCATTTGGACAATTACAAATAGGTCGATGGTTAATCGTCACACATTCCGCAGTAATGTCACATGGTTTTGATATTTGACACGGATCTTGGCAATATTGATTGGAGCATATTTTTGAACTTGGACATTCAGAGTCTGTTGTACATTCTGGTGTTGCCAGTGGCACTATAATATGATTTTCAATGTTTAGTTAAATTCAAAAACTGCATTTGTTTCTATTATAAAAATATATTTTTATAGGTAAAACCCATATGTCATGTTTTAACATTTAAATTAGTACTTAATTTATTACATCAAATGTATAATTATAATATTTATTGTTTAAAATTTTAATATTTGGTCAATATTACATTTACGTATGAAAACGATTTTGCTAGGTATTTGTTATATCCAGTATATATTTTTTAAAAATTATCATTTGGCTCTAATATAGGCTGGGGCCATAGGCCCGTGTGTTTGACACACGCAACACAACTGGTTATTGCGGTTCTGGTTATATCAATTTAAAATAAACAATTGTTCACTAGTATATATTTATTGGACATTCTAATAATCAGTTTAAAGGACATCGGGTCATGACAATTTTTGGAAAAAACAATATATTCAAAAAACATAATATTGGCCATCGTAAGTAATTATAAACATTATAAACATATATTATATTACATAATATTAATTATTTTACCTTTGTAACAGCTTATGAATGGATCGCCAGTAAGGCCATCTGGACATCTACAAACAGCTTTATGGTTGTTGATTGTACACAATGCAGTCGATGCACATGGGTTAGATACCGTGCACGGGTTCACACATTGGCGGTTTAGACATGAGTCTGTTGGTTGGCAATCGCTATTGGAAGAACAACCAACCGAAGTCGGAACACCTAAATTACCATATAAAATATACTTTAATAGGTTGTAAGAGCATGAATATATTTTTTTTTCTAGATTTCAATAATAACATGAATTAAACATGTAGTCAGTCAATCTTATAATTTATTTATATACAATAGAAAGACAGTAAATGGAAGTGAAGGGATTGACATAATTAGTATGTATAATTTGTTTGTATAAATTCTGATGTGTTACTAATAAATTAGTATTTTAGAGGATATTTAAAGGAAATAGATAAGCAGCTATAACCTGAAATCACATACAAATTTATATTGATTAGTAATTATATTTTATATTGATGGTTTTTACTGTAATTGTAATAGGATTTTGTTGTTAATACATTTTTAAACATTTTAATAGGTTAGATTTATTATTAAAAATATTCTCTTTACCCAATTTACACTGCACGTCAGCATCACCAACGTAGCCTGGAATACATTGGCATGACATTGTTCTGTGAGGTAAAGTATCTACTACGGTGCATTCTGCATTTGCTCCACACGGTTTGATCTCTTTACATGGGTTTCGGCAATCTCCATTGAAACAGGCTAACTTACTAGCACAGTCAGAATCCATTGAGCATTGAGGTGGAATATCAAGTGGAGCTAATAAACAATAATATATTTTATACCTAATTAAATTGTATATGTATGTGAAATAAACTGATTATATGAACCACTCAATGTCAATGGATTTGTGATATAAATTCAATATACAATGTTACGTACTTAATGTGCAAGAAATATGTGGATTTCCTATATATCCTGGAGGACATCTGCAAGCTGCAATATGATTGGCTACGTTGCACAATGCAGTCGGAGCACAATCACATGGACTTTGACAATGTTGATTTCTGCAAGCTAACGTTGATGGACAGTCCGAATCGATAGTGCATTCAGGTCTTCTACATTCTACGAACGGATCCCCTTCATATGCGGGAGGGCAATAACATCTGGCTCTATGGTAGCCATCAGTTCGACATAACGCGTTGATGCCACAATGAGTGTAAGCACAAGGGTCAACACAGTCTCCATTAACACATGATTTTTCCGGGGGACAATCAGTATCAGCGCGGCAGCCAACTGAAAATAGTAAAATAATTGTTATGATTCAATTTTAAATATTTATTCAATAAATCATACTTTCTATGCATAGGATTTGAGCGTTTCCAGTCATTCCATCTTTGCACACACATACTGATCTGTGTTTTTGAACATAACATAATGCATTTCTAGCACATGTAGTTGGTGATTCTTGACATGGATTTTTACAAGCGTAATTTATGCATGTCTTGTCATTAGAACATTCACTGTCAGTAGTACACTCTGGCTTTGGTTCTTTATGAATAATTATAAAATTAGTAATGTATTATATAACAGCAATATATATTTATTGGTTTAAAGTTTTTCCATACCAGGCGATCGTTGTATTATACATTGTTGTTTTGGTTCTCCGTAGTATCCAGGAGGACATGAACATATAGCATTGTGATTAACCACTTGGCAAATAGCGTTCAATCCACAAACGTCTCGGCATGGATCTTGACATTTTTGCGTGAAACATGCTTTGTCCCTTGGACAGTCTTGGTTAATGATACATTCGGGATACACACATGAGGCGACTTTTCCAATCACTCTACATTGACCGTTGCTACCACAAGGTGACGGATTACATGGATCACTTGGTAATGCTAAATATAAATATTAAGGGATGAATCTATTTATATGTAACTAAAATAAAAAATTATAAATTACCTGGTTGTTGTTTACATTCAACAAATGGATCTCCAATAGTAGGCGGAGGACATGAACATACAGGACTATGGTTAATAGTCTGACAAATTGCTTCATATCCACACACACCAGGACATGGGTCTACACATTTATTGTTGACGCAAGCTTTATTTCGAGGACAATCAGGACTGATTACACACTCAGGTCTACAACCACTAGTTGATGGAGATCCTTCATATCCTTGTAAGCATTCACAAATAGCAGCACCATTCATTATGCGACAGCGGGTATTTGGTCCACATGGTGATGGTACACATGGATTAGATGGAATCGGATCTATGAAATAATTTAAAGGATATAAAATTCCACGATGTGTATAAAATAAAGCTATAGAAAATTATTTCAGTAATAATAGTTAATCTAATAATTAATATGAGATTTTTAGGAATTATTACCTCTAGCTGGTATTGGCTGACAAATTTGGAAAGGATCACCAGTTAAATGTTCTGGACATGAACATATTGGTATATGATTCGAAACAAAGCATATAGCAGATATGCCACACGTACCAGGACATGGGTCTTGGCATTTATTTCTAATACAAGCTTTGTTCATAGCACAATCAGAGCTAACAAGACACTCAGGTCTACAAGATTCATATGGATTTCCTTGATATTCTGGTAAACATTCGCAAATAGCATTTTGATTCTCAACGTGACATCTAGCATTAGGTCCACATGGTGATGGGTAACATGGATCGGCAGGTGAAGTTGGTGTAGGTTGAACAGCTATAATTTCAATACATTTTTTATAAATTTCACATTTATGTATATATATATACACATTATATATCATGTTGGTATTCGTTCATACATGTGTATAAAACAAATTACTACCACATGCAAGTATATAATAATCGTGCAACACATTTATAAAAACATGCAAAATAATCTATAAGCATGCATTCAAATATTTTACAAACCATATGTTAAAAATATTTAAATTAAACTAGACCGGAGACGACGCTGAATTTTGCTATAGTGAGTGTACTTATTTATTAATATTTAATAGATACCTAAACTTAAAATCTAACTTATTTCGAAGTGTCTTATTATTAAATGAAATACAATGAACGTAGTTTTGAAGTTTGCTGTAGTAAATTAAATTATCTATTAAGAACATATTATTATTATTGGCAATATAATGGAAACACGAATAATTCTTACGCTGTGCTTGCTGGATGTTACATGAGACAAAAGGATTTCCAATGTATCCTTGAGGACAAATACACTGAGGTATATGGTTGTATACATGACATTCTGAATTGAAACCACAAGAACCAACACACGGGTCTCTGCATTTCATATTAATGCATGCTAAATCAAATCTACATTCGCTGTTCGATACACATTCAGGACGACACTGTGGAGGTGAACCTTGGTAGTTTGGTAAACATGTACATGTGTAAGTATTTAAGGTTACACGGCATTCTGAATAAGGTCCACATGGACTTGGAACACATGGATTAATTGGATCTTGTTGAGGTTTTAATACAACTGTAAGCAAGTAATATACGAGAAATATTTAAAAATTTGATAATTTATTAAGAAAAAGTTTAATTAGTATTTTGAAAAAACTAGACTCATATTTTATTTACCTGGATAAGAACATTTTGAAAATGGATCTCCTGTTAGGTATAGCGGGCACCTACAAATAGCATTATGATCGATAACTTGACAATCTGCATTAATACCACATGTTCCCGGACATGGATCTCTACACCGTTGATTCAAACAAGCAGTGTTCATCGAACAGTCTGAATTAATTGTACATTCTGGTCGGCAATTAGGAGGATATCCAAAGAAAGTTGGCAAGCATGTACAAATAGCTTGATTGTTCACATCACGGCATTGACTATTTGGTCCGCAAGGAGAAGGTGAACACGGATTTCTTATAACTTGTTCTTGTAATACTTGGTGGCACGTGATAAAAGCATTTCCAGTCATTCCAGGTGGACAATGACACATTGGTATATGATTATAAACCTCACAAATTGCATTGTTTCCACAAGTGCCTATACACGGATTAATGCATTTATTTTTTACACAGGCCTTATCTTTAGCACAATCTTCATTTAAAACACATTCCGGTCGACATCCTCGATAAGGATCTCCTTGATAACCAGCTATACAAGAACAAATACCATTATTACACGTTGCACTCGGTCCACATGGAGATGGATAGCATGGATCGGAATATTGAGGCTTAGGTGCTGAAAATGTAAGAATATATTTATAAAATATATGATTGCTCGGCTCAAAAGTTATTTTTAGCTTACGTGGACTTGGTTTAATATAACAGCTGACAAATGGATCCCCTGTATAACCAACTGGACATGTGCAAATTGGTACATGGTTAATCACGTTGCACTGTGATCCTAATCCACAAGATCCTGGACATGGATCTCTACATTTCTCTCTCATGCAAGCCAAATTGCTAGGACACTCGGCATGAACAATGCACTCTGGTCTACAATTAGGTGGGCTACCTACGTATGTCGATAAACACGAACAAGATGGTGAATTTCCATGTGCTATACATTGAGAGTAAGGACCACAGGGTGATGGTGAACAAGGATTAATCGTAGGTGGCTCTTCAGGTGGTGTATCTAGATTAAGAAAAATATTGTTTAGTAACTGTGTACATTAAATACATAACTATTCATAATTTAAAAAACAAACTTACATTGTATAATAGAGCAATATGTAGATGGATTACCCGTGTAACCAGAGTTACATTTACATATTGGATGATGATTAATAGTTCGACAATAAGCATTCTGTCCACACGTTCCTGGACAAGGATCGACACATTTTTGATTTACGCAAGCTAGATTTTGTGCACATTCAGAGCTAGTAACACATTCAGGTCTACATCCAGGCGGAGTTCCAATAAATGATGGTAAACACGAGCAAATTGCTTGGCCATTGTTTTCCTTGCATATACTATTTGGACCACATGGAGATGGTATACATGGATAATTTGGAACGATTTCAATTTCTGTAAAATTATTATTTTTTAAATATTATTTATCGTAGATGAAATTACAATTATAACTAAATAATATTTACTCACGTTGCGGTGGTATAAGTTTACAGTAGTTGAATGGATCTCCAACATAACCCGGCAAACAAGTACACATTGGAATATGGTTGATAGTTTGACATTTAGCGTTACTACCACAAGTTCCTGGACATGGGTCTTTACATTTATTTGCCATACATGCTTTGTTAGCACTACAGTCTGTATTAATCATACATTCAGGTCGACAACCTTCATAAGGATTTCCGTAATATTCAGGTAAGCAAACGCATGAGCCAGCATTATTTTGTTCTTTACATAATGCATTTGGACCACATGGCGATGGTATACAAGGATTCGTTACTTCTTGGATAGGTTCAGCTAAAAAATATATACATGATATATTTAGTATAATGCATTTTATAAAATTGTATTTAAAATCATGTAATTATTCACCTTGTTGCAATATGCATTGGGTGAATGGATCACCATTATAACCTGGTGGGCAGTTACATCTTGGAGTATGACTAATTACTTTACATACAGCATTTGAAGCACATGAACCAGGGCATGGATCTTTACATTTCATGTTTATACATGCAAGATGATACGGACATTCGTTATTACTGACGCATTCCGGTCGACATTGCGGTGGTGAGCCAATAAAGTTAGGCAAACATGAACACGATGGTGAATTTCCATTGACTTGGCATTGAGAATTTGGACCACAAGGTGAAGGTACGCATGGATTTTGAATTGGTTCCGATGGTACTAAATAATTGATAGCATAATATTAGCTTGAAAGTTTCTTTACGCATAATATAAAAAATTGTATTACATTGTTGTACGTAACATCTTGAAAAAGCATTTCCGGTGAAACCAGGGGGACAATGACAATGTGGTCTATGACTTATAGTATGACATTGAGCATTTTCTCCACAAGCTCCTGGACATGGGTCACGACATTTCTGATTTGAACATGCTCTATTTGGACTACAATCGGAATCAATAGAACATTCAGGACGACAAGTTGGCGGTGTTCCAATATATCCGCTGAGACAGGAACACATTGAATAGCCATTTACTTCTCTACATTGACTATTAGGACCACACGGTGAAGGTTGACATGGATTTGTTTCAATCGGAGCTATTAAATGTATTGATAAAAAATATTAAAACTAAACTAATAGATAAATAATAAAATAATTACCTTGATATGGTAAACATTGAACGAATGCATTTCCAATCATTCCTTGTGGACATCTACACATTGGAATGTGATTATATACTTCACATAAAGCATTTTGACCACAAGTTCCAGGGCATGGGTCTTTACATTTATTTTTAATGCACGCCTTATTTTGAGGGCACTCATTGTTTAGAACACATTCAGGTCTGCACATGCTATATGGATCTCCTTGATATTCAGAAATACATGTACAAATGCCATTGTTACATAATGCATTTGGTCCACACGGAGAAGGATTACAAGGGTCTGAAGCTTGTTGAATAGTTGCTAAATGGCCAAAATTGTAATTAGATAATTGAAAATTTAGTTATAAAATATATATCATACTTGATACTTTATCAATATTATACTCACGTTCAGGTTTGATGTAACAGCTCAAAAATGGGTCTCCGGTGTATCCTTCTGGACAGATACACATTGGGATATGATTAAAAACTTGACAATGAGCATTTGAACCACATGAACCAGGACATGGATCTCTACATTTTTCACGTATACAAGCCACATTACTTGGACAATCAGCATTGATTGTACATTCAGGTCTACAGTTAGGAGGAGTTCCTATATACGACGGAAGACATGTGCATGATGGAGAACCTCCATAGTTTTGACATTGAGAATAAGGACCACACGGTGATGGTATACATGGATTTATTGGTGGCTGAGGTTGGGGTTCTGGAGCATCTAAAAAAAAAAAAAAAAAAAAAATAGGTTACGTTATAAAACTGTTTGATTAAGTAGTTAAAAGATAAATAATCCTTACTTTGCATAGGATAGCAAATAGAAAATGGATCTCCTGTGAACCCTAAATTACATGAACATAGCGGACTATGATTTACAACTCTACAGTTTGCACTTTGTCCACAAACTCCAGGACAGGGATCTACACATTTTTTATTCACACATGCTAAATTCAATGAACATTCAGCACTAGTAGTACACTCAGGTCGACACATTGGGGGGCTTCCAATAAATGATGGCAAACAAGAACATATAGCTTGATTGTTTAGTTCTTTGCACTGACTGTTAGGACCACATGGTGATGGTGTACATGGATATATTGGCTCCATTTGAGTTACTAAAATGAAATACATTGTGATATTTACTGGACTTTTTTTTTTTAATTCTTAAAATAAAAATTCTTAAAATTTTTAATTTTTAAAAATTAATTTTACTAAGTTGACAATCCATTATGTAAAAAAATTAACTACGTAAATGATAAATTAGTGTTATGATATAATACGATCATTTTAGATATTAATTTAAAATATTTTATTGATTTTGTTCTATTAAACTTACTTTGTGGTGGTATATAATTGCAAGATTGATATGGGTTGCCTGTATAACCTGGGTGACAAGTGCACGAAGCAACATGATAAATCACCTGACAATCAGCATTTAATCCACAAGATCCGGGACAAGGATTTTCGCATTTATATTGTATACAAGCTTTATTTGGAGGACAATCAGTGTTAACAATACATTCAGGTTTGCAGCCTTCGTATGGATTTCCAAAATATCCAGGTAAACAACTACATGAGCCAGCATTATTTTGTTCTTTACACTGGGCATTAACTCCGCAAGGTGACGGAGTACAAGGATGCGGATCATCTCTTATAACTACATCTGAAATAGTTCGATGATATAATTAAATAATGATTTTAATTTGAAAGGTTATATATTAGGTTATTACCTTGTTGAACTACACATTGAACCATCGGATTTCCAATATAACCTTGTATGCAATAACACATCGGTGAATGACTAATAACACGACAAATGGAATTCTCTCCACATAACCCGGGGCATGGATCTTTACACTTCATATTAATACATGCCAAATTATATGAACAGTCACTGTTACTAACACATTCTGGTCTACAATTTGGTGGTGCTCCAATATATTCAGGTAAGCATGAACAAGATGGAGATGTTCCTTGAATTTGACATTGGGAGTATGGACCACATGGTGAAGGTACACATGGGTTTCGAATAGGTTCGTCTTCAATTATCGCTTTTGTAAATTTATAATATTTACATTAAATGCAATAATAATAAAAATCAAAAGCCTGATAATAACTTACGTATTTTATTGCATTGAACAAATGCATTGCCAGTAAAACCAGGAGGACAACTGCAAATCGGATTATGATTAACAACATGACATTTAGCACCAACTCCACATGTTCCAGGACAAGGATCTCGACATTTTTGATTGCTACATGCTTTACTTAAAATGCAATCAGAATTAACCATGCATTCTGGATGGCAGGTTGGTGGAGCACCAATATATCCAGTAATACAAGTACAAACAGCTTGTTGATTTATTTCACGACAAAAACTGTTTGGTCCACATGGAGAGGGATTACAAGGGTCTTGGATCACAGAAACTAAATATAAATAGTATAATTATAAATAATGACTATATATAAGTGTTTACTAATTATATTATATAATTACTTTGATAAGGACGGCATTCTATAAATGCATTTCCAGACAATCCTTCAGGGCATCTACACATTGGAATATGGTTATAAACATCACAAATAGCGTTTTGACCACAAGTTCCTGGGCACGGATCTTTGCATTTATACTTTATGCAGGCCTTATTCCTTGCACATTCATCATTTAATATACATTCGGGTCTACAACCAGTATATGGATCTCCTTGGTATTCTGGTAAACAAGTGCAAATGCCATCATTGCAAATTGCATTTGAACCGCATGGAGATGGGAAGCATGGATCAGTGTTTGGTATTATTGGTTCTAAAAACAATTCATATATTTCAGTCAAATTACTAGTATATTTTGCATTAGAGATAATAATAGTTAAATGTCTGTAATCATACTAACCATCTTGTGGTTTTAGTGCACATGAACTGAATGGGTCTCCTATATAACCACTAGGACAGTAACAATTAGGTGTATGATTATTTACTGTGCATAGTGCTCCTACGCCGCATGAACCCGGGCACGGATCTCGACATTTTTCATTTATACAAGCTTTATTGCTTGGACATTCAGCACTAATGACACACTCTGGCTTGCAGTTTGGTGGATTACCAATGTACTGAGGTAAACAAGAACACGATGGATATCCTCCTTGGTCACGACATATAGAAAATGGTCCACACGGGTTTGGATAGCATGGATTTATTGGTTCTATTGGAGTTTGTTGTATTGGAGGTTCTAAAACATATTCATGTTCGTTATTTATTCTTAAATTATGTGTTTGTTATTACGGTATTAAAAGTAAATAATATATTTAAACATACTTGGTATTTGATAACATTGTGAAAATGGATTTCCCGTATATCCTGTAGTACATGTACAAATAGGGCTATGATTTATAGTTTGACAATATGCGTTATAACCACACATTCCAGGACAAGGATCTTTACATTTTTGACCAATACAAGCTTTATCATGACTACATTCACTACTAATTACACATTCGGGCCGGCAGCTAGGAGGACTTCCAATGTATTCGGGAAGACACGAACATATTGCTTGACCATTAAGTTCTTTGCATTGGCTATTTGGTCCACAAGGTGATGGACTACATGGATTTATTGGTTCCATTGGAGTTTCTAAAATGAAGATAGAAAATAATTATTATTATACTATAAAATCGTACAAAAAAGAGTAAGTATCTAAGTATGTATTATATTGTCTATATATATTTTATTCTTTTACATATACATAATAATTGTATTATAATATAATTACGTTGTGGAGGAATTATTGAACAATATCTAAATGGATCTCCAGTATACCCATTGAAACAAGTACACATAGGCACATGGTTAATTATTTGACATTCAGCATTTGGACCACACAGTCCTGGGCAAGGATTTTCACATTTATTTCTTCTACAAGCTTCATTTTGTGGACAATCTGAATTAACTACACACTCAGGCATGCATCCATTATATGGATCGCCAAAATATTCTGGTAAACACATGCAAGATCCAGCACCATTTTGCTCTTTACATAATGCATTTGAACCACAAGGTGATGGATGACATGGATTATAGTATTCTTGAGGGATTGGTTCAGCTTGTTGTATATTACATTGTATTATTGGATTTCCAGTGTAACCAGATAAACAATAACATTTTGGAACATGGCTTATTACTTTACATTCTGCATTCTGACCACAAGACCCTGGACATGGATCTCGGCATTTCATATTTATGCAAGCTAAGTGATATGGACATTCACTGTTGATAATGCATTCTGATTTGCAATGTGGCGGTGAACCAATAAAAGTAGGCAAACAAGAACATGATGGTTGACCACCAATATCTTGACATTGAGCATTAAATCCACATGGTGATGGTATACAAGGATTTTCATTAATTTCTTCTACTGGTGCAGCTTCTGCAAATTTAATAAAATATTATTTATAAATTTAAATATTATATGTAGATATTAAGAAAATATGAAAATATAAATATTCCTTACGTAATGGATGACAATGGACAAAAGCATTTCCAGTAAATCCTGATGGACAGTTACATATAGGACTATGATTAATAACTTGACATTTAGCTCCTATTCCACATGTTCCAGGACAAGGATCCTTGCATTTTTGATTGCTACAAGCTTCATTTTGATTACAATCAGAATTGGTAGTACATTCTGGTCTACATAGAGGAGGTGATCCTATGTAATTTGCTACACAAGAACATACAGCATGATTGTTGATTTCTCTACATTGACTATTTGGTCCACAAGGAGAAGGATTACATGGGTATACTTGAGCTTGAACTAAAGAAATAAATAGAAGTTGTATTAATTTAATTCAAAATTAATATACTTTTGTATATTACTTTCAGACGGTTTGCATTCTATAAATGCATTTCCAGACATTTTTTCAGGGCACCGGCACATTGGGATGTGGTTATAAACGTCGCATATTGCATTATGACCACATATTCCTGGACATGGATCTTTACATTTTCGATTTATACATGCTTTATTTAGCGGACAATCATTATTTAGTACGCATTCAGGTCTACATCCTATATAAGGATCTCCTTGATATTCCAATAAACATGTGCACACGCCATTATTACATTGCGCATTATGTCCACATGGAGATGGATTACATGGATCACTGTTTTCAATCGGAGCGGCTAAAAATTATTTGAAGTAAAAAAGTTTGTTAATTGACATTGAGTTCAAAATTAATAAAAATAAAAACACATACCTTCTTGTGGTTTGGTATAGCAACTAGTGAATGGATCACCAATCATACCATATGGACATACACACATAGGAGTGTGATTTAAAACATTGCACTCGGCATTATAGCCACATGAACCTGGACAGGGATCCCTACAGTGTTCATTAATACATGCTTTATTTGATGGACATTCGGAGTTCATAACACATTCGGGTCTACAATTTGGAGGACTTCCAATGTATTGAGAAAGACAACTGCATGATGGAACACCTTGGTTATCATTACATTGTGAATATGGGCCACAAGGCGATGGTATGCATGGATTAGTATATTCAACTGGCGAATATTGAGGTGGTGGTACTAAAAATATAAGGTATTAGTACCGAGGTTAAAATATATAAATTAAAGAATAATTACTTGGTACTGGGAAACAATGTGTAAATGGATCCCCGGTAAATTTAGGTCGACAAGAACAAATTGGACTGTGATTGATAACTTTGCAATCAGCATTTTGTCCACAAATACCAATACATGGGTTGGTACACTTTTGATTTGAACATGCTTCGTTATTATTACATTCTGAACTCATTACACATTCTGGTTTACATCCAGGAGGGCTTCCAACGAAACTTGGTAAGCATGAACATATTGCTTGATCATTGATAGATTTACACTGACTATTTGGTCCACATGGTGAAGGATAACACGGGTTGATGGGCTCTATTGGAGAGGCTGTAGATAAAAAATTAGTATTATTTATTTATTTTTCTTTTATATAAGTATTGTTTCAATAAATTACATTGTTGTGGAACTATAGAACAGTATCTGAATGGATCACCAGTAAATCCATTTATACATGTACAGATAGGTAAGTGATTAACCACATGACAGTCTGCATTTTGCCCACACGTTCCTGGACATGGATCTTTACATTTGCTCATCATACAAGCCTTATTAGAAACACAATCTGAATTAACTGTACATTCTGGTCTACAACTTTCATATGGATTTCCTATATATTCTGGCAAGCAAACGCATGATCCTGCACCATTTTGTTCTTTACATACTGCATTCACTCCACAAGGTGATGGTACGCACGGATTTATATACTCTTGAGGTATAGGATCTTCAATATAATTTAATTTAAATTGATATACATAATTATTATAGTAAAGTAAAAATTATCAAAAAGAATTAAAAAAAAATATTTTACCTTGTTGAACTGAACAGAAAGTAAACGGATTTCCAACATATCCTGATTGGCAATGACAAGTTGGTGCGTGACTTATGACTTGACATATAGCATTAACTGCACATGACCCCGGGCAAGGGTCTTTACATTTCATATTTATACATGCCTTATCATAAGAACATTCACTGTTAGTGATACATTCTGGTCTACAATTTGGAGGAGACCCAATAAATTCAGACAGACATGAACATGAAGGTGTATCTCCTTTTACTTGACATTGTGAGTTTGGACCACATGGAGTTGGGACGCAAGGATTACCTACTGGTAATGGTACGTCAGCAGCTAAATAAAAATATAGATAATTTAATAATTATAAAAGTACAAATATAATTGATAATGTGGCTATTTTTTTTTTTATGAAAATGGGTTTATATTTTTGAGGTATTATTGAATTTTTAAACTATCTTCATTTGTGTTAGTTGTGAATATTTCTACTAGTTATTATTTGATTGATTTAGTGGAGTAACCTAAAATATATCTCAAATACTTACGTATTTGGTAACAATTCATAAATGAATTTCCTGTATATCCAGGTGGACAGCTACAAATTGGACTGTGGCTTATAACTTGACATTTAGCATTTATACCGCAAACTCCTGGACATGGGTCTATACATTTTTGATTGGAGCAAGCTTGATTTTGTCTACAGTCTGAACTCGTTATACATTCAGGACGGCACAATGGTGGTACTCCAGTATAACCCAAAACACATGAACATACTGCTTGTCTATTAATTTCTCTACACTGACTAAATGGTCCGCATGGAGATGGATTACATGGATCGTATATCACTGGGTCTAGACGAAATTATAACAGATTAGTTTATTTATTTTATAAAATTTATTGTTGCATCTATGTACCGCTTTGTTGTGGGCTACAAATGACAAAAGCATTGCCTTGCATTCCTTCTGGACAACGACACATTGGTATATGATTATACACATCGCATATAGCGTTTTGTCCACACGTTCCAGGACAAGGGTCTATACACTTATTTTTCATACACGCTTTATTTCTTGGACAATCAGTATTCAATACGCATTCTGGCCTACATCCTGTGTACGGGTCTCCTTGGTATTCACTTAAACATGTACATTTACCATTGTTGCAAAGAGCGTTTGGACCACAAGGTGACGGATTACACGGATCTGAGTAGACTGGTGTTTGAATAACTGTTAAAAATTATATAAATTATAACAATTATAAAATTATTTTTAAATAATATTAAGTACCTGGCTTGATATCACATTTTATGAAAGGATTTCCTTCATAACCATCAGGACAAGAGCATATAGGGGTATGGTTAATAACATTACACTGAGCACCCCAACCACATGATCCTGGGCATGGATCTTGACATTTTTCTCTCATACAAGCTTCATTGCTAGGACATTCAGAGTGCATAATACATTCTGGTCTACAGTTTGGTGGACTACCAATGTATTGAGCTAGACAAGAACATGATGGATTACCCGCATGAACTTTGCACACAGCATATGAACCACATGGTGATGGTATGCATGGGTCAGTATAAATGGGTTCGTTTAATGGTGGTGGTTGTGGTAATGGTATTGGATGGCAATGTAAAAATGGATCTCCGGTATATCCGGAATTACACGAACACATTGGAATATGGTTCATTACTCTGCAGACAGCATTTTGAGCACAACGATCTTCGCACGGATTTTTGCATTTTTGATTAATACAAGCGAGACTTGTTGAACATTCAGCATTTAATACACATTCTGGTCGACATCCTGGAGGGCTCCCTATATAGTTTGGTAAACATGAACAAACAGCTTGTTGATTAATATCTCGACATTGACTATTTGGTCCACACGGAGATGGTGTACATGGATAGACTGGCTGTACTTCGGCTTCTATAAGGATAAATAAAAAATGATTTATTAAAATTTAAAAAAAAAGTCTTTCGGAAGTGTAAATATAAAATATTACGTTGTGGTGGTATAATATGACAGTAACGGAATGGATCTCCTGTATAGCCATTATAACATGTGCACAATGGTGAATGATTAATAACTTGACATTCAGCGTTTTGGCCACATGTTCCTGGGCATGGATCTTTGCATTTATTATTTATACATGCTTTATTAGATTGACATTCTGCATTGACAATGCATTCAGGTTTACACCCTTCATATGGATTGCCGAAAAATTCTGGTAAACAAGAACAAGATCCAGCTCCATTTTGTTCTTTACAAATGGCATTGATACCACATGGAGATGGCTCACAAGGATTTAAATATTCTTGTGGAATAGGATCAGCTATAAAAGAAATCATTATTATATAGTGAAATGTATAATGTATATACTATATTATTTTTAATAAGCGTATCAAATAAATAAATAACTTTATTACCTTGCTGTGGTAAACACTCAGTGTATGGGTTTCCAATAAATCCAATGGGACATGAACATCTTGGCGTGTGGCTTATAACTCTACATTCAGCAGTCGGCGCACAAGCTCCAATACAAGGGTTTTTACATTTCATGTTCATGCAGTATAAATGATTTGGACATTCACTGTTGCTTACACACTCCGGTTTACAATTCGGAGGTGAACCAATAAAATCAGATAAACAAGAACATGATGGTGATTCACCTTGAACTTTACATTGCGAATTCGGGCCACAAGGTGACGGAATACAAGGATTTCCAATGGGTTGTGGAATATCTGCAGCTGTTACAAAATAACATGTACTTTTTTAAGTTAAACAACTTTGATTTTGAGTTTTACTATTATTAATTTACTATTTTTATTCAGTTTTTTTATACTTACGTTTTGGGTAACATCGAACAAATGGATTACCAGTATAACTAGGCACACAACTACAGATTGGACTGTGATTAATGACTTGGCATTTGGCGTTTACACCACAAACTCCAATACATGGGTTGATGCACTTTTGATTTGAACATGCTTTATTACTATTACAGTCCGAATTTACAGTACATTCTGGGCTACACGATGGCGGAACTCCCAAGTAGCCAACAATACAAGAGCACACAGCTTGTCCATTGATTTCTCTACAATGACTGTTGGGCCCACACGGTGATGGGCTGCAAGGATGAATATCAATCGGAACTGAAAATATAATATTCCAAATATAAAGTATTTATATAAACAGCGAGGAAAAGTATTTTACTTTGTTGTAAGGCAGAACATCTGATAAATGCATTTCCTTCTGTTCCTTCTGGACATCGACACATTGGTATATGATTGTAAACATCACATATTGCATTTTCTCCACACGTACCTTTGCATGGATTGGTACATTTATTGCGAACACAAGCTTTTTCTCTGGAGCAATCGTTATTAATAACACATTCTGGTCTACAACCAGAGTATGGATCTCCAAAATATTCGTTTATGCATGAACATTGACCATTATTACAGATAGTATTCGGACCACATGGAGATGGGTAGCATGGATCTTTTTCGATAATTTCTGGAACTAAAAATGTTAATTTTCCTAAAGCTGATGATTTTTTTTTTATTTTCAAGTAATTTACCATTTTGAATTGGTTTGATATAGCATGATGTAAAAGGATCTCCAGTAAATCCTTCACGGCATATACAATTTGGTGTGTGGTTTATGACATTACAGTAAGCTTCAACACCACAAGATCCTGGACATGGGTCTTGACATTTCTCTCGGATACATGCCAAATTGCTGGGGCAATCATTGTTCATCACACATTCTGGTCTACAATTAGGTGGATTACCGAAATATTGTGATAAACATGAACATGATGGAGTTCCACCGATATCTCTACACTCCGAGTACAAACCACACGGTGATGGAATACAAGGATTTGTATAAATAATTTCATCTTGCTGTGGCGGAGGTGGTGGTATTGAATAACAACGAGAAAATGGATCTCCTTGATATCCAGGTTGACATGAACAAATTGCGTTATGTTTTATAACTTTGCAGATGGCATTTAAACCACATGGTCCAGGGCATGGGTTGACACATTTTTGATTAATACACGTGTGAATATCACTGCATTCAGAACTTAAAACACATTCAGGTCTGCATCCTGGAGGACTTCCTTGATATGTTGGAAGACATGAACAGACGGCTTGGCCATTTATTTCTCTACATTGGCTGTTTGGTCCACATGGTGATGGAGTACAAGGTGTATTTGGTTCTTGTTGAATTACTAAGAACAATTAAAATTTCACATAAATTAAATTGAAAAATGTAATAAAATTTAAATTAATAAAATTTCTTTTTACTTTGTGGTGGAATTAGATTACAGTATTTGAAAGGATCTCCAGTATAACCATTATAACACGTGCACATCGGAAGGTGATTGATTACCAAACATTCCGCGTTTGGTCCACAAGATCCAGGACATGGATTTTGACACTTATTTCTTATACACGCTTTATTAGATGCACAATCTGTATTAAGTATGCATTCGTATCTGCATCCATCATAAGGATTTCCTTGGAAACCAGGCAAACAACTACATGAACCAGCACCATTTTGTTCCTTACAAACAGCATTTGTACCACACGGTGAAGGTTCACATGGTGATAAATACTCAATTGGTACGGGATCAGCTAGAAAAATATAGTTATAGTTTAAAACCGATAAATTTGTGCTCAAAAATAATTGTATTATTTAAAAATAAAATAATTTAATACATTCAAATTTTTTTCTTACCTTGTTGAATATAACATTGAATAAATGGATCTCCAATGTAGCCAGATAAACATGAACATCTTGGTACATGGCTAACTACTTGACATATAGCATTTTGACCACAAGATCCTGGACAGGGATCTTTACATTTCATATTGACACATGCTTTATTGTAATTACATTCGCTATTAGTAATACATTCTGGTTTACAATTTGGCGGAGATCCAATAAATTCAGGTAAACATGAGCAAGAAGGAGTATCTCCTTTCACTTGGCATTGTGAGTTAGGTCCGCAAGGAGATGGAATGCATGGGTTTCCAACAGGCTCAGGCAAAGCCACTGCAAATCAATGAAAATAATTTAATCAATTAAATAATTTTTAAATATACAATTAAATTTATGTATGTATTCTAGGATTTTAAAAATTAACTTACATATAGTATGACAACGGACAAATGGATCACCCGTCATACTTTGTGGACAACTACATATTGGGTTATGGTTAATAACTTGGCATTTTGCACCGACTCCACATGTTCCTATACATGGGTTTCTACATTTTTGGTTTGAACAGGCTTCAGTTAAATAACAATCCGCATTAATTGTGCATTCTGGTCTACATGATGGTGGACTACCAATATATCCCACAATGCAAGAACAAACAGCTTGATTATTTATTTCTCTACATTGACTGTTAGGTCCACAAGGTGATGGATTACATGGCTGTGTAACAATTTGCTCTAAAATATACAAAAGTAATTCAATGTTATAAAATGTTTATTAATTATTAATGCAGTTGTAAAAGTATACAAACCTTGTAATATTGGTAGGCACTGAGTAAACGCGTCACCTTCTAAGCCTTCTGGACATCGACACATTGGTATATGGTTATATACTTCACAAATGGCGTTGTAACCACATGTTCCTGGACATGGATTCACACATTTATTTCGAATGCAAGCCTTATCTCTAGAACACTCGTCATTCAGAACGCATTCTGGTCTACATCCAAAGTATGGATCGCCTTGATATTCCGGCAAGCACGTGCAAATTCCATTATTGCACATTGCATTAGTACCGCATGGTGATGGATTACACGGATCTATTTCTACGTCAGATATAACTGGAATTTGAGGTTTAGGAAAACAGCTTACAAATGGATCTCCTGTAAATCCGTCTGGACATTGGCAAATAGGAACATGATTTAAAACGTTACAAGTTGCTCCAATTCCACAAGAACCAGGACATGGATCGCGACATTTTTCTTTCATACAAGCGTTATTGCTAGGACATTCTGCATTAATTGTGCATTCAGGTCTACAATTTGGTGGACTTCCAGTATACTGTGACAAACAACTACAAGAAGGATAACCGCCATAGTTTCTACATTCGGAGTATGGACCACATGGTGATGGAACACATGGATTTATTGGTATCAGTTCATCCTGTGATGGTGGTGATGGTGATGGTGGTATTAAATAGCATCGTGAAAAAGGGTCCCCGGTGTATCCAGGACTACATGTGCATATCGGACGATGCTTGATTGTTTTACATTGTGTGTTTTCACCACACTGACCAATACAAGGGTCAGCGCAATGTTGATTTATGCACGCAAGATTTTGAGGACAATCTTGACTAATGAGACATTCTGGTCGGCAATTAGGCGGACTTCCTATATAATTTGTTAAACATGAACATACTGCCTGTAAATTAACTTCTCGGCATTGACTATTCGGTCCACACGGAGAAGGTGAACATGGATTAATTGGTTCAGATTGAATTTCTAGAAAATAAAATAAATTAAATTATTGAAGTACAATAACAATTAATAAGCATAAAAAGCTTACGTGGAGGTGGAATCAGGCTACAATATTTATAAGGATTTCCGGTATATCCATAATTACATGAGCATGTAGGTGAATGATTTATCACTTGACAAATTGCCGATGGAGCACATGTGCCAGGACATGGATCTGTACATTTATTTCCCATACAAGCTTTATTTGATGAACAATCAGTATTGACTGTACACTCAGGTCTACAGAGTTCATAAGGATTTCCAAAATATTCAGGTAAGCAAATACAAGATCCAGCTCCATTTTGCTCTTTACAAATCGCATTTGCTCCACAAGGTGATGGAATACAAGGGTTTGTAATTTCTTCGACTGGTTCAGCTATTATTACATAAAATATTAGTGTAATAATTAAAAAGGGTTTTAAGAAAACTGTTATTAAAAATTAAATTAATATAAATATGCATTTGTACAATTATATATGCTTTTAATATTTACCTTGTTGAATTATACATTGTGTGAAAGGATCTCCAGTGTATCCTGGATAGCAAACACATTGAGGAGTATGACTTATGACATTGCATTGCGCATTTTGTCCACAAGATCCTGGACAAGGATCTTTACACTTCATATTTTTACATGCCAAATGATATGGGCATTCGCCGTTACTAATACATTCTGGTCTGCAGTTTGGTGGTGATCCAATGAAGTCAGGTAAACAAGAACAAGATGGCGACTGCCCTTTTACTTGACATTGTGAATTAGATCCACATGGAGATGGCACGCAAGGTTGTTCTATTGGTATTGGATCATTAATAGCTAAAAATAAATGTAAATTAATTAAATGAGCAAATATATGTATCATACTTGTTATAATATATTATTTAAATACTTTTTATATTTTTTAAACGGAATTTAACTAATATAGAATAAAAAACGATGAAAATAAGTGAAATTATATATTTATTCTTACGTATTGCATGACACGAAGAAAATGGATTTCCTGTTAATCCAGTGGGGCAGCTACAAATAGGTTTATGGTTGTATACACGACAAATTGCTCCAATACCACATACTCCACGGCAGGGATCGTGACATTTTTGGTTTGTACATGCTTCATTTAAATTACAATCAGAATTTATAGTACATTCTGGTCTACACGATGGTGGCACCCCTAAATAACCTATTGTGCATGAACACACTGCTTGTCCATTAATCTCTCTGCATTGACTATTAGGTCCACATGGAGATGGATAGCATGGATTTACGTTTATAACAGGGATCACATCTATAATAGTTAAATAAAAAATTCATATATACTATACATTTTAATTATTTAACTTTTAAACATACCATGTTGAACCAAACAGTTAATAAAGGCATTTCCCTGCATTCCATCAGGGCATCTACACATAGGTATGTGATTATATACTTCACAGATTGCATTTGTTCCACAAGTTCCAGGACAAGGATCTTTGCATTTATTTTGTATACAGGCCTTATTTCTAGGACAGTCATTGTTAAGCACACATTCAGGTCTACATCCTGAATACGGATCACCTTGGAATTCTGGTTTGCATTTACAAATACCGTTATAACATTCAGAATTTGGACCACAAGGTGATGGATTACATGGGTCTGAATATTCTGGTTCTGGAACTACATAGTTGTATAAGTTATATTTAGATCATAGTTTAATAACAATGGTGCATTCAAATTTACCTATCGGAGGTTTCAGCTTACAGCTTTCAAAAGGATTGCCTTCGTAGCCATCTGGACATAAACATATTGGAGTATGATTGACTACATTACATAAGGCATTTATACCACATGATCCAGGGCATGGATCTTGACATTTTTGTTTCATACATGCTTTATCTCTAGGACATTCCGCATTAATTGTACATTCAGGACGACAGTTAGGTGGACTTCCAATGTATTGGGCTAAACATGAGCAAGATGGAATGCCATTCTGTTCTTTACATTGAGAATATGGACCGCACGGAGATGGAACACATGGGTTGACATATATTGGGTCGTATTGTGGTGGAGGAGGTGGAATTTGATAACAACGAATAAATGGATCTCCAGTAAAACCATTAATGCACGAGCAAACTGGACTGTGATTGATTACTTTGCAGTTTGAGTTTTGTCCACATGGTTCAGGGCACGGATTTGAGCACTTTTGTTTTATGCATGCCATATTTGGAGCACATTCAGAATTAGTTACGCATTCCGGTCTGCATCCTGGTGGACTTCCTACGTATGAAGGGAGGCATGAGCAAACTGCTTGATAGTTGATTTCTCGACACTGACTATTGGGTCCACATGGAGAAGGTGCACATGGATTACTTGGTTCTATTTCAGTTTCTGTATTATAAATCAATAAAATGTCAATATTATATTTAAATGTTACTTATGTTTCATAAAAATGAAATAACTTCATAAAAAATGTATTAACTTACGTTGTGGTGGAGGTATTAGATTACAATATCTAAATGGATCACCAGTATATCCTTGATAGCAAGAACACATAGGCAAATGATTCACAACTTGACACTCAGCATTTTGACCACAAGTTCCAGGACATGGGTTCTTACATTTGTAATTTGAACATGCTTTATTTGATGCACAGTCTGTATTTAAAACACATTCTGGCCTACATCCTTCATATGGATTTCCATAGTACTCGGGCAAACATGTGCACGAACCAGCTCCATTTTGTTCTTTACATATTGCATTTGTACCACAAGGAGATGGTATACATGGATTTAAATTTTCTTGAGGAATTGGATCAGCTAAGTATAAAATATGTTGTTAATTTATAATAATTCAGGATATACGATTAATTTACCTTGTTGTATAATGCATTGTGAAAATGGATCTCCTACATAACCATTTCGACATTTGCAAATAGGCGAGTGGCTTACTACATGGCATTCAGCGTTTGGTGCACATGATCCTGGGCAAGGATCTTTACATTTCATATTAGTGCAAGCTAAATTGTAAGCACATTCACTATTTGTAATACACTCAGGTTTGCAATGCGGTGGTGATCCAATAAATTGAGGTAAGCAAGAGCACGACGGTGATTCACCTTGAACTTTGCATTGTGAATTCGGTCCGCAAGGTGACGGAATGCAAGGATTACCCACGTATTGCGGTACATCAGCAGCTATATTTAATTTTATAATTATTATTTTTAAGTCCCACTTAAAATAAATTTATGTTAATATATTTACGTTTATTGTAACATCTTGTAAATGGATCACCAATTAAATTTCCTGGACAACTACATATTGGGTTGTGATTTATGACTTGACAATTTGCACCAATACCACAAATACTTGGACATGGGTTTCGACACTTTTGATTAGAACATGCTTCATTCAGATTACAGTCTGAATTAATTGTGCATTCAGGTCTACATAAAGGAGGTGCTCCTAAATATCCTGAAATGCACGAACATACTGCAACGCCGTTCATTTGTTTGCATTGACTATTTGGTCCACATGGAGATGGGGCACATGGGTTAATTACTTCAATTGGTGCTGGAAAACAGGTAATCAAATATTATTGTACATTGTCTGCATTAGCATCAAAAGTTAATAAGAAAGAAATATCGTTTATATTACATTAAAATTAGTTTCTTTTACCTTGCATTGGTTGACAATTGATAAATGCATTTCCGTTCATGCCTTGAGGACATGTACACATTGGAATATGATTATACACATTACAAAGTGCATTTGTTCCACATGTTCCTTGACATGGATCTTTACATTTATTATTGATGCATGCTTTATTAACTGGACAATCCGTATTCAAGATACACTCTGGACGACAACCTGCGTATGGGTCACCATGATATTCGTTTAAACAAGTGCAAATACCATTATTGCATACAGCATTTGATCCACATGGTGATGGATTACAAGGATCAGAGTATTGTGGTTCAGGCGCTAGAAATTAAAAATATTGTCATTGATTTTTAATAATGGTTATAAAAGTCTAAATAATTAAAAAATCAATACTTACGAGATGTTGGTTTTATGTAGCAAGTTGTAAATGGATCTCCCGTATAACCATCAATACATGCGCATACTGGATTGTGATTGTAAACGCTACAATGAGCATTCACACCACATGAACCAGGACATGGGTCTTGACACTTTTGTTTCATACAAGCTTTATCTTTAGAACACTCTTCGTTAATCGTACATTCTGGTCTACAGTTTGGTGGTGATCCTATATAGTTTTCTTGACAAGAACAAGAAGGGTACCCGTTAGTATCCCTACAATAGGAATAAAGTCCACATGGTGAAGGTATACAGGGGTTAATTGGTTCATTTTGTATCGGTGGTGATGGTAAGTCTGTCAACAATGAAATATTTAAGTAATTAGAATAATTTATAGTATTAATTTAATATACGAGGAATATTTGTAAGTGTATTTATATAAGTTTATGTTTGAGTGTATGATATTCAAAACCATACTTACATTGTATAGCATAACAACTTGAAAATGGATCACCGGTAAATCCTCCTTCACATGAACATATAGGGCTATGGTTTATTACTTTACATTTTGAATTAGAACCACAAGCATTTAAACATGGATCTACACATTTTAAATTTCTACACGATTTATATTTATCACATTCCGAATTCACCACACATTCTGGTCTACAACTTGGGGGATTTCCTAAATACGATGGTAGACATGAACATACTGCTTGATTATTTATTTCCTTGCATTGACTGTTTGGTCCACAAGGTGAAGGGATACAAGGATTAATTGGATCCGCTTGTACTTCTATAAATATATTTCCGTAATTAATTACCTATAATTGATTTTAATAACTTATCTATACTAACGCTGTACAGATGGAAGTGGTATGCAGTATTTGTATGGATCACCAGTAAAACCAGTTGTACAAGTACAAGATGGCAAATGATTTGTAACGTAACATTCTGCATTTTGACCACAAGTTCCAGCACATGGGTTTTGACACTTGTTTTTCACACAAGCTTTTTGAGGTGTACAATCAGAATTTATGACACATTCTGGTCTACAACCTTCATATGGATTCCCATAATACTCCGGTAGACAACTACATGAACCAGCACTATTATACTCCTTACACACAGCATTCATTCCACAAGGTGAAGGAACACACGGATTTAAAGGTTCCTGATATATTGGCAACGCTATAATTATAATTTAAATAGTAAATATTATTTTGAAAAAATTCTACAGGAGTTATACCAATATACTCACCATTTAGTGTACATTTATGGTTATACAATTATTTAGTAAGCTCTTACTTTTCTTTTACATCTGTTACATGATTAGTGATAGCTATTCAAAAATTGAGCAGATAAGATCAACATCATTTTGGGAAGTACCTATTTCTAGGTTTAAAACAACAATTATGACAGTTTTGTAATACTTAAGATACAATTGAACTAATTGTAGTTTCTTACCTCTGTATGTTCTGAAACTTTATAGTAAGTTAATAATCCTTATACTATTTTGAAAAGGCAACTTACCAATATTGATTGTAATTATACTTATATTAAATATATTTTATTTGTGATATAAAACACCTAAGTATTATTCTAACTCTTATACTAACTTATATTAATTTAATTATAAAATTATATGAAACTCAGAATCATTAAGTAACTTAATGCACATAAAACACATCAAATTCAACGTCTCCAGTTCTTATCAATATAATATTGAAAAAGTAGTTACTACTTATAAATATTACGTATAATATATGTAAACCGTGCATTTTTTTTACAAAATAAAATATAACTATATCATACAAATGCAAATCTCAACACATGCAAATTTAATTTATTGAATACATTTGAAAATGTATTGAAGTATTCAAAAACAACAAAATGCATTTAGCTATTAAATACAACTACAAAGATAAATTATTCTGTATAGCTTTAAAACTTAACAATTAAAGCTTAAGATATGTATATACAGTATTTTACTATCAATTATTAAATAAAACTGAATCATATAACATGCTCACAAGATGCAATTTTAAACTTATTTTTCTG